GCTCCCGCTCTCTGGTCTCGCTCCCGCTCTCTGGTCTCGCTCCCGCTCTCTGGTCTCGCTCCCGCTCTCTGGTCTCGCTCCCGCTCTCTGGTCTCGCTCCCGCTCTCTGGTCTCTGGTCTCGCTCCCGCTCTCTGGTCTCTCCGCTCTGGTCTCGCTCTCGCTCTCTGGTCTCGCTCCCGCTCTCTGGTCTCGCTCCCGCTCTCTGGTCTCGCTCCCGCTCTGGTCTCGCTCCCGCTCTCTGGTCTCTCCCGCTCTCTGGTCTCGGCTCCGCTCTCTGGTCTCGTCTCGCTCTCTGTCTCTGGTCTCGCTCCCGCTCTCTGGTCTCGCTCCCGCTCTCTGGTCTCGCTCCCGCTCTCTGGTCTCGCTCCCGCTCTCTGGTCTCGCTCCGCTCTCTGGTCTCGCTCCCGCTCTCTGGTCTCTCGCTCCCGCTCTCTGGTCTCCTCCCGCTCTCTGGTCTCGCTCCCACTCTGCTCCGCTCTGGCTCTCTGGTCTCTGGTCTCTGGTCTCTGGTCTCGCTCCCGCTCTCTGGTCTCTGGTCTCTGGTCTCGCTCCGCTCTGTCTCTGGTCTCTGGTCTCTGGTCTCTGCTCTCTGCTCTCTGGTCTCTTGTCTCTGCTCCTGTCCCTCTGGTCTCTGGTCCTCTGGTCTCTGCTCTCTGGTCTCTGGTCTCGCTCTCTGGTCTCTGGTCTCGCTCCCGCTCTCTCGGTCTCGCTCCCGCTCTCTGGTCTCGCTCCCGCTCTCTGGTCTCGCTCTCGGTCTCTCGCTCTGTCCGCTCTCGCTCGTCTCGCGCTCTCTGGTCTCGCTCCCGCTCTCTGGTCTCTCGGTCTGTCTCTCTGCTCTCTCTGGTCTCTCGGTCTCGCTCTCTGGTCTCGCTCCTCGCTCTCTGGTCTCTGGTCTCTGGTCTCGCTCTCTGGTCTCGCTCTCTGGTCTCGCTCTCTGCTCTCTGGTCTCGCTCCCGCTCTCTGGTCTCGCTCCCGCTCTCTGGTCTCGCTCCCGCTCGCTGGTCTCGCTCCCGCTCGCTGGTCTCGCTCCCGCTCGCTGGTCTCTCTGGTCTCTGGTCTCGCTCCGCTCGCTCGTCTCGGTCTCTGGTCTCTGGTCTCGCTCCGCTCTCTGGTCTCGCTCCCGCTCTCTGGTCTCGCTCCCGCTCTCTGGTCTCGCTCGCCGCTCTCTGGTCTCGCTCCCGCTCTCTGGTCTCGCTCCCGCTCTCTGGTCTCGCTCCCGCTCTCTGGTCTCGCTCCCGCTCTCTGGTCTCTGGTCTCGCTCCCGCTCTCTGGTCTCGCTCCCGCTCTCTGGTCTCGCTCCGCCTCTGGTCTCGCTCCCGCTCTCTGGTCTCGCTCCCGCTCTCTGGTCTCGCTCCCGCTCTCTGGTCTCGCTCCGCTCTCTGGTCTCGCTCCGCTCTCTGGTCTCGCTCCCGCTCTCTGGTCTCGCTCCCTCTCTGGTCTCTGGTCTCGCTCCCGCTCTCTGGTCTCGCTCCCGCTCTCTGGTCTCGCTCCCGCTCTCTGGTCTCGCTCCGTCTCGGCGTCGCTCTCTGGTCTCGCTCCCGCTCTCTGGTCTCGCTCCCGCTCTCTGGTCTCGCTCCCGCTCTCTGGTCTCGCTCCGCTCTCTGGTCTCTGGTCTCGCTCTCCGCTCTCTGGTCTCTGGTCTCGCTCCCGCTCTCTGGTCTCTGGTCTCGCTCCCGCTCTCTGGTCTCTGGTCTCGCTCCCGCTCTCTGGTCTCTGGTCTCGCTCCCGCTCTCTGGTCTCGCTCCCGCTCTCTGGTCTCGCTCCCGCTCTCTGGTCTCTCTGGTCTCTGGTCCGTCTGTCTCTGGTCTCGCTCTCTGGTCTCTGGTCTCGCTCTCTGGTCTCTGGTCTCGCTCTCTGGTCTCTGGTCTCGCTCTCTGGTCTCTGTCTCGCTCTCGGTCTCTGGTCTCGCTCTCTGGTCTCTGGTCTCGCTCTCTGGTCTCTGGTCTCGCTCTTCTCTGGTCTCGCTCCCGCTCTCTGGTCTCGCTCCCGCTCTCTGGTCTCGCTCCCGCTCTCTGGTCTCGCTCCCGCTCTCTGGTCTCGCTCCCGCTCTCTGGTCTCTGGTCTCGCTCTCTGGTCTCGCTCTCTGGTCTCGCTCTCTGGTCTCGCTCTCTGGTCTCGCTCTCTGGTCTCGCTCTCTGGTCTCGCTCTCTGGTCTCGCTCTCTGGTCTCGCTCTCTGGTCTCTCTGGTCTCTCTGGTCTCTGGTCTCTGGTCTCTGGTCTCGCTCCCGCTCTCTGTTCTCTCTGGTCTCTGGTCTCGCTCCCGCTCTCTGGTCTCGCTCCCGCTCTCTGGTCTTGCTCCCGCTCTCTGGTCTTGCTCCCGCTCTCTGGTCTTGCTCCCGCTCTCTCTGGTCTCTGGTCTCTGGTCTCTGGTCTCTGGTCTCGCTCTCTGGTCTCGCTCCCGCTCTCTGGTCTCGCTCCCGCTCTCGCTCCCGCTCTCGCTCCCGCTCTCTGGTCTCTCTGGTCTCTGGTCTCTGGTCTCTCTGGTCTCTCTGGTCTCTCTGGTCTCTCTGGTCTCTCTGGTCTCTCTGGTCTCTCTGGTCTCTCTGGTCTCTCTGGTCTCTCTGGTCTCTCTGGTCTCCGTCTCTCTCTCTGGTCTCTCTGGTCTCTGGTCTCTCTGGTCTCTCTGGTCTCCTCCGTCTCTCTGGTCTCCGGTCTCTGGTCTCGCTCCCGCTCTCTGGTCTCGCTCCCGCTCTCTGGTCTCGCTCCCGCTCTCTGGTCTCGCTCCCGCTCTCTGGTCTCGCTCCCGCTCTCTGGTCTCGCTCCCGCTCTCTGGTCTCGCTCCCGCTCTCTGGTCTCGCTCCCGCTCTCTGGTCTCGCTCCCGCTCTCTGGTCTCGCTCCCGCTCTCTGGTCTCGCTCTGGTCTCTCTCTGGTCTCTCTGGTCTCTCTGGTCTCTCTGGTCTCTCTGGTCTCTCTGGTCTCTCTGGTCTCTCTGGTCTCTCTGGTCTCTCTGGTCTCTCTGGTCTCTCTGGTCTCTCTGGTCCTCTCTGGTCTCTCTGGTCTCTCTGGTCTCTCTGGTCTCTCTGGTCTCTCTGGTCTCTCTGTCTCTGGTCTCTCGGTCTCGCTCCCGCTCTCTGGTCTCGCTCCCGCTCTCTGGTCTCGCTCCCGCTCTCTGGTCTCGCTCCCGCTCTCTGGTCTCGCTCCCGCTCTCTGGTCTCGCTCCCGCTCTCTGGTCTCGCTCCCGCTCTCTGGTCTCGCTCCCGCTCTCTGGTCTCGCTCCCGCTCTCTCTGGTCTCGCTCCCGCTCTCTGGTCTCGCTCCCGCTCTCTGGTCTCGCTCCCGCTCTCTGGTCTCTCTCCCGCTCTCTGGTCTCTGGTCTCTGGTCTCGCTCTCTGGTCTCGCTCCCGCTCTCTGGTCTCGCTCCCGCTCACTGGTCTCGCTCCCGCTCACTGGTCTCTCACTCTTTCTTTCTTTTCTGTCTGAAAAAGCTGATCTAAATAGAGTGATAGACTAGTGATAGAACCAAAGTATTTTAAATCCAGGAACTAGTGATGTGGATTTTATTGCAGATAAACATATTGTGGTTTGAAAATCAGGTACCCCAGCTTTGAAAACATGCTAATTGCACAGCACCAATACAAGAGCAGTGCAAACTTAATAAAGGCAATAATAGCATTCAGCTAGCACCAACATAACTGTCTATTCATATATCTAACCTTCTTTCGAAGGCGTTTCTAACACCACTACAGCAATTACCTTGCTTTTCTTCATGGTCGCAGCTATTCTAATGCTTATTCCATTGATTTAATCCCGTGTTTGTCTTTTGAAACTGTGATTTGGACAGAGTGCAGGAGCAGCGCCCCAGGGATTATGTCGGAGCGTGGGATTAGGGCTTTGATGTCCGCCCATCGCAACAAGTGCCCAATGGGAGCCAGACATTGCCAAGCATTAGCCCACGCAGGATATTTGATAAACGGACGAGCAACTAATTATCCGGACGAGAGCACAGAGATATGCAAATGTTTTAAATGGTCACAAAGACGGATACATTTTAACAACTATCTGGACTTTCTCATTAGTCCAGTTCTCAGGTCTCTGCTCTGGTTTCCTGTGGCTCAGAGAATAGACTTAAAAACAGCTCTGCTTGTTACAAGTCTCTCCATAACCTGCACCAAAGTACATCTGTGACATGTTAGTGCCATATGAACCAACTCAGACTCTGAGGAGCACAGGGACTGGTCTCCTGTTGGTGTCCAGAGTCAGAACTAAACATGGTGAGGCAGCGATTCAGATTTATGCAGCTAAAATCTGGAACAGTCTTCCTGAAAATGTGAGGCAGTTTTCTACTCTCACAATGTTCAAATCCAAGGTAAAAAAAAAAACACAGTTCCGTTTCGCTGCAACAACTGAAGGATTGTGTCTTCACTCTTTTTAATTACTGTGAATATTTGTGATTTGATGCCTTGTGTGATTTAAATATGTATTTTCTTGTTTTGTTCAGCACTTTGAGTTGCCTTGAGTTTGAACTGTGCTATGCAAATAAACTCAACTTGCCTATGGTACAAGATCATCATAAAACCCTAGCCCTAATCTCATGAAATATTCCTGCTGTGTATGGTGTGTCCGCTCCCAACTCAAATCAGGGAAATCTGTATGTTGGTTTGTTTGTCTCTGACCAGGATCACAATGCAGTTAAACATACACGGCCTCTTCATCTGAGGACTCCAGTTTGACTGTGTTAAAGTTTACATAGGACTTAAAGGGGACATAACTAGAGATCGGCGGATGTGTGTTTTCTGTGTCTGATAACAAAGAGAAGCCAGGACATAGTGTTTGTAACTCAGGTATACTTGGAATGTTTTTTATATTGCAATTCTAAAAAATAATTTACATTTAAAACCATTTAAATAAACATCCTTTCCTGCCAGACAAGATAATCTTTACAAATGAGGTACAACATGTCATAGAAGCATAAAGACAGACGGGAAGAGGCCGAGAGAAGAAGTTTAAAAAACTACTGTACAATGAAAGTTGTCCGAATGGAAGTTGTGGAAGTACTTACAGCCTTCTTCTTGTCTGCGGTTTCCTCTGCAGCTTTTTGATACCTGGCGAAGACAAAACAGTAGATGAATCTAATCTAGGTTCAGTTCTTTTCATCAGAGTTCCCCAAATAGTTTTGTTTAATATAGTTTCATTTAAAAAAAAGCTGATAATCGAACATGACAAATATAGACAAAAACAAAGCCTTGTAAATATTTTATCTTTCCAGGAGACCAAGATGTCCATCCAAGAGATATGTGACATTTGAAACTAGCGTTATGTCACAAACCAAATCCAACGTAGGCACAGGGAGAACATGCAAACTCCACACAAAAGGCAGAGCAGTGGTGAGTGTCGTACTTGGAGAAACGTTGGGCGATGGCGCTGCTCTTCCCTTTGCCGCTCAGAGAGAGCTCTTTGGCCGTGACCCGGAGAGACTGAGTGGCCCATGAACGCCGGAACGACCCGCCTTCCATCGCAGCTCAGGCCTGGACCAGAACAGACAAACAAGCATTATGTTTTTTAAAATATAAACACAATGAACACAGTAGCCAATAAACCACAGTGTGGTGTGGGTCCATTCTATTTTTCCGGTATTCTTCCCCCAACCAACGTGATGTATTAGCTACTGTATATCCTAGACCAAATCCAAGTTATGTTGTTCAACATACATCATCCAAACTCTCCAGACCTTGTTAAATTCGTCAGCCTCGAGACTCTGCTGTGAGTTTCTCCATTTTGCAAATGCTTTGCATAACAAAATTTGCAGAAAAAGCTGATCTAAAGATGTGACAGAGGCCAGAAATACATGCATGTGAAAACGAGACCAAGATCAAGAACAGGACAAGGATCAGGACCAGGAACAGGACCAAGACCATGCTTGTGAAAACTAGTGATAAAAGCAAAAAGTTTTGAGAATGAATTCAATGGATTAATACTTTATTTATTATTAATAATAAATGTTTTTATGATAAGCTTTTGTATAAATTACTAGATTATCGGAACCATCCCATGTAACAATCCATCAAGATAATGCTAATTTTGTTTAGCAGTTCTCATTATGCAATAAAAAATGTTTCCCACTGTGGGACGAATAAAGGATCTCTTAATCTTAAATACATGGTGCCTGGTAGAGGTAAATATTGTTGATACCATGAAGTTTTCCTTCCTGTTTTCCACCATTTACTTGCGGTTTTGTAGTCATCGTGTTATCTGTCTGATCAAGATGATAAGGCCTGAATACCTATTGGAACCCTGTCATTTTAGTCTCTCTCTCTCTGGTCTCTTTCTCTCCGGTCTGGAGAGGGAGAGACCAGACAGAGAGATCAGAGAGAGAGACCAGAGAGATATATCAGAACAAGAGAGAGATCGGAGAGGACAGAGAGAAACCAGAGAGAGAGACCAGAGAGAGAACAGAGATAGACCAGAGACAGAGACCAGAGATAGAACAGAGAGAGACCAGAGAGCCCTTTTCACCCGGCGACAAGCGTGACAAAAATGTAAGTGCACGTTGTTAACAGACAGATGTTTCAATGAGTGTTTTTGGCGTGTTCAAACTCGCGCCGCGACTTTGTGCCGCTTGGCTGAAGACGACGACAAACAGCCACATTTTCATGGAGTGAGAGCATTGTGTGGAGAGAGACCTCCTCCGGCGACAGCTCACAGAGGAACATAGAAAAGATGAGGAGTATTGACAAATCACTGCTTTATTAGACTCACAACCGCAGAGTTACATCCGGCAATGTGGTTAGAGAACCTGAAACATGATGCTGAGAAACTTTACTTTTGTATTTCATATCTTAAAGCTGAGGTACCCATCTTTTCAATGACATGTGTAATAAACCCATGTCACTCATTCCTGGCTCTAAAACAGATTGCTTCTTTCACTAGTTTGTGTATTTTGAGCCTCACATCTTTTTACTGAGAGATGAGGGAGAGAGACCAGAGAGAGAACAGAGAGAGAACAGAGTGAGAACAGAGGAAGAACAGAGAGAGAATATAGAGGCCAAAGAGAGACCAGAGGCCAGAGAAGGATAGCAGAGAGAGAGAGGCCATAGAGAGAACAAAAAGAGGCCAAAGAGAGACCAAAGTAAAACAGAGCGAGACCAGAGAGAGGCCAAAAGGGAGAGAGAAAAGAGAGAGAGAGAGAGAGAGCTCAGAGACCAGAGAGAGACCAGTCCAGAAAGAGACTAAACGTGACACATGCAGCAGGAGATATGAATTTGCCTGAGAGCAGACAGCTCTTATCTGTGAATCACTGTGATGCAGACCGTACTCCTGCAGCAGTCATTACATCAGCCCCGACTTTGGACTCACGATTACAACACGCATTTTCACTCTGACAATGTCCCAACGCGCACGTAAGCTAAAGCCACTCAAACCAGTGTTTAAAACTCCATGTAGGATTTATTATTGTCTTAGTGCATGTGTTTACTGGAATCAAAGACTTTCTGCCTAAACTGTAATAAGGCAACATCCACACAAAGTCAAAACGCTTCAAGTTTCAGAGACGTTTTTTCTAAACACAGAGCTCCATATATGTTTGCATCCACATGATTGAAGTCAGAACACCTGGAAACGCTGTGAGACTCTGCCAGGCCTCTGCCATACCGACACCTCGGAAACGCATACATTCATATAAATCAATTATTCTAGTGATTATTATGATCAAAATATCCATTAGTTCCAGCCCTATGGGAGTGGATCTTCAATTAGATTTATCCAATGTAAAAACAAAATGTAATTTCTCACTTCCATTGGGCTCATATCTTATTCCATTTTATGTATATCCATATTTTGTTCAACAATTTATATTCTAAAACATGAAATGCCAAAGTAAACATTCTTAAAATCATGTTTAAGGCCAGAACGACCAGACGAACTGCCTCACATGTTGATCTGTCGAAGAGCTTAATGAAAACAAGTTGTGGCGTTGGAGCAACAGTAAATACAGGTCACACAAGAGGAAGTCTCACTGCAGCTCATTTGAATGTTCTTGGTCAAAGGAATTAAGAGGTGAAACTACAGCATGAACGAGGCTGGAGAAACTGAAAACAATCACATACTGTAAAATAACTACGTATAGAGACAGTCCTAATTAGGAGTGTGACGATATATCGATTTTTCTATATATCGCGATACTTTCTCCCGCGATCGATTATCGATATGCATTTTCCAAGTATCGATTTTGAAAAAATATATATATATTAGTATCAATACTTAATATATGGCTACATTACACATCTCCATTCCATTTATCATGAAAAAGCATATTTTTGTCACTTAACATTTTTCTATTCTATGTATGCCATATATTGGCATATGGTATATGGCTGACCAATATATTGATAATCGTCATATTGTGATATAATCGTTATCGTGATATAATCGTTTGTATCGCGTATCGTGAGGTACCCTTAGGTTCCCACCCCTAGTTGTGAGGGTCCACAAACAGATCAACACTAGATGACCTTATAAGAAGACAATATGTGTGTTATGTTTTATATTAGACAGTAATGATCAGGGGTGACAGTAGCTCAGTTGGTAGAGAACTGGTCTTTGGACCTAATGATCGTGGGTTAAACATATAGTTATTTTCACTGAGCTTCATGGTCCTATACACTGTGTAAAACCATCTTGAATCCAACAGACTTGAATGAAAACATAAACAGAAAAGTCACCGGGGACAAATGTGCAATTATTTGCGATTAATCGTGAGTTAACTATGACATTAATACCATAAATTGCAATTAAAAAATGGAATCGCTTGACAGCGCTATTTACGACTATACTGGTGGAGTTGAAGTTGGTTGAATGACACTCTGAACCTGTGTTCTCAAAGACTACTTTAAGTTTGTAAAGCAGAGGGCCACATAACATAAGACATAGGGCCGCATTTGGCGGAGAGAGGAATACCTTAAACCAGGGGTGTCTGTCCACACTTTTTAGTTTGGGGGCCACTTTAGTTCACCAAAAGTGTCCGAGTATTCAATGACTGGATCTGGGGTGCCGGTATGAGGTGTTTACATTGGTTCATATCAGACGGAGCTGAAGTTGGCTGAATGAAAAGTGTTTAATTACCAGATACATTAACATCATACAGTAAAAATAAAAATAAATGTCAGTACAGTCCAACAAAGTCAAAGACTGGATTGCACAGACCAGAGAGAGACCAGAGAGAGACCAAAGAGAGATCAGAAAGAGATCAGAGAGAGAGACAGAGAGACAAGAGAGCGAATGGAGTGACCAGAGAGAGACCAGAGAGAGACCAGAGAGAGACCAGAGAGAGAGACTAAAGGGAAACAGTCAAACAAAGTCAACAAATGGATTTAAGCTTCACAACAAGGTATATTGGCAGAGCTGCAGTTGGCTGGATGACACTCTGAACTAGTGTTTATGATCTCAAAGACTACTTTAAGTTAACAAAGCAAAACATGACAGAGGGGGACATGCCTGTCTTAAACATTGACAGTAAAGTCAATAGTTCGAGGAGAAAGGAGGGGCTGCACTGTCCAACAATATGGGTGTTTACTATTCCAAAGGCGTTATAGCAATTTAAGGAACCGGCAGAACTACAGTCACAATCCTTCAGTGTCTTCGAAGACTTAATCACAGGTACAAAGTTAATCGCCGTGTGAAGAATGTTTCTTTACCCTGAGAGCTAATATCTTGCTCAATTTTTTACATTTTTAAGACATATCATAGATGGTAGTTACCAGAGGGCAAACTCAGCTAACATAGACGTCACCTTTATAAACTAGCTTAACCAGCACACACACGCACACTCACGGCGCACACTATGGCGCACATTGAGCAGGTTTTTCGACGTGAAATGAGCGAGTTTCGGTCGCAGACTTTACCTGAACGGACTTCCGTGGTGTCAGCGCTGGAGCGGAGCCTGTGGTCACCTGAGACTGGGCTCGGAGTGTCCTGTCCCCGGTGTGGAAGGAGGAGTGGGATTGGGTGAGCTCCGGCCCACCTGGATGTGCTCAGCCAATCAGCGCGCGGATCACTGAGACCTACCTGTGCAATGGACTGACGCAGGGACGTTCACGCGTGTGTAACTAAAGGAAAATATGTGAGTGCTGGTCACGGGCGAACACAACAACACAACATGGAGGTCTATTTAGAATCATTCAGCAATGTTTATGATTAAAGAGTTTTAGAATGTGTCCAGAAATATTATTATTATTATTATTATTATTATTATTATTATTATTATTATTATTATTATCATTATTATCATTATTATCATTATTATCATTATTATCAGTATTATTATTATTATTATTATTATTATTATTATTATTATTATTATTATTATTATTGCATGACTTTTCTTGTCAGTGACACATATAAGACTCATTGTGATCACTGTGTCACTGTCTGGAACAAGTCTATCACAAACACTGTTAACTCGAGGCCTCCCAGAGCAGTCTTTTTGACTTTTGTTGAATAATCCCCAAAACAGTTTTTG